TATGGAGTGTTAATCACATAGTTGTATATGTGTCAATGTGTGTGTGTCATATAAACTCATAGAAAATAAAAAGGGGTAAAAAAATGTCATCAGAAATGATAACAGTTAGATGTAAAAAATGTTTGATAGGCTAAAGTTCTTCTACCAATATCATTGAAATAACTTTTAAGAAATTGATCTGTTAAAGATTTTGTTTAAATATGCCCAAAAAGTTCGAAAAAGAAGAAGTTTGAAACAAAATTCATAGCCAATCACGCGGATCAAATCAATCATTATATGGCATACTCCCCCACCCAACATGACTTTATCGACTTTAATTTCTTTTATTACATCCAAAACTAAAAACGGGGAAAGCTCAAAACTTAAAATTGATAATTGCACACATATAAATATATATAATATCCAACGAAAGAGTGTTTTTTTAAAGTTCCAACGAAAGAGTGTAAAAAGGTATCTTCGAAAGTGAGAACATTTAGATTTAGTTTATGTAAATGTTTGATAGGGTAATTATTAAGTAGTTAGATTGAGTTGTACCATTTATACAAATTATGATATATTGCATCACTTGTAAATTACAGATATATTGAAACTATGGAAATAGAATAGTGGTCTCTAACATTATAGAGTAAAAGATAAAAGATGGTCTGAGTCTAGTTTTAGTAATGTGATAGTCAGATTTATTTGGTCTCTCGATCTCTTCCTTAGGATGTTTTGTTTTGGACTGTTTTCAGCCCCAGACCAGACCAGATCTGACCTGACTTTCGTAGTTATAAAATACACAGAGACCAGACGTTTACCAGATCAGACCAGATCAGACCAGACCAACAAATTTCAGTCCCAAAAAAACTTCCTTAATATAGCATTGCCAGATTACTCCATGATACTTAATTTAAATTTGTTTTTTCTTTTTTGCAAGGAAAAGTAAATTTAATTTAAATTTGTAGTTAGGAATCTTTTAAGTTTACAAATCAAACATTACAACATCAATGCTTGTTGTACCCACCTCTTATACCTCACCTCTGTTAAGGCTCTTTTTTTCCTGTGAGTCATTTTCACATATAAAATATGTTTTATTTTGTCTGTGCAAACAAAAGAAGACATATTTAGTCTTATTTTGTCGGTGAACGGAATTCACAGACAAAAAAAGTTTTCACAAATATGGGTAGGTATAAAAGTGAGTATAAGGGTTGATATGAACATCATCTTTGGTCATCACCGGTCTTGTATTCAAAATTTTACAAATATTGAAATGAAGTGCAATCGAAAATTGTACGACATTCCATTATAATATGTGGATGTCATCGTGCTTGCTATTCTCTGTTCATAATCTTATGAAAGAATTTGTGTTACTATACGTTACTACTACATAAAAATGATTATGACTACAAAAAAACACCAAAAATGAAACATATCCGTGTGAAGTACAATCAAATTATATACTATGGAGTATTTTTATAGACTAATTTTGCACATAAGAAATAGTATATTTACAATGGCATTCTACTTTCCTTATGAAACACTATCATATTAGATGATAGACTACTTTGTGCCACTTATAATTAAACTTCATTTTGTTTAGTATTTTTAAAGTATTACTAATGCATATCTGATAGAACTAAAAATATGCCGCTCTTTATTTAACAAAATATTGCCTCATTTTAAAAATGAAATGAGTGGGATGACTTTACAGGAATTTATCACTCCTATATGTCTATACATAGTAACTCTACCTTGAGTTGAGGCTCGTATATACACCTTTATAGTTCTAACTCATTAATTACAATTTGATGTTAGATTTTAATATTTTGAATTCTCAAATAGTTAGAGCAGAGAATCCGAGAAGCAAGACATAAGAAGAATATTTTTATAGCAAGTAAGTGATAAGTAAGTGCAATATTTCTTTACTATCAAGTTCTAAGGAGCCAATAACTATTGCATTGATTATTCTGAGTCATTGTGTACAACTTAGATGCCCACTTCAAGTTAAACAAAGAAAACTAAGATTATCTAAAATCTTAACTTCAAATGCACTTCATGATTCGTTTCAATATTAAAGCACTTTTGGAACATAATGCTTATAATTTCAGAGAAATTATAAGCATTTTTTTGGTCTACTACAGCCAAATTCTTTGCTTTATGCAAGATCTGCATTTTGTTGTTCTAAGAAGTATGGTTTTTGGGTTGTCATAAATTCTCCGATTTCCCTTAAAAGTGAAGCTCGAAGGTGAATATAGGAGCCCAACCTTGATATTAGATATCCAAATACCCTTGTTGTGAAATTGCTTTAGAGATTCAAGAAAGAACCTGTTGAAATGGGATATGATAACAATATTAGTTCTTAGCGGAATAGTGAAAGATCAAACCTTTTAATATGTGATGTTGGGATTAAAAGATTACTTCATGTAGCCTGAGTATTAGGACCATTACTGTTATGAACAATAATAAAATCATAATTGGCATTTCGTTTACTTATATGATTCCATCCGCCACAGTTTTAATTGACGTTTGGGAAAAGTAAAAGTGTTTTTGCATATTGATTTATAAGCATCAAAGTAATTACCAAAAACTATCCACGAAGAAAGTTTTGGATTAAAAATATGGATTTCCTAATGAGATAGTTTAGATAAAAGATGCAAATACCACAACATATAAATAAAAATCACAGTTGGCCAATGGGAGGTATAGAAATACAACTCAAAAAGAAAATTAGCAGTAGCCATCAGGAGAGGTATAGGTTTAGCAAGCATTATTTAGTCAAACACATGAATCACATATATGCTTTGTCACATGAAGTTAGGGGTGAACCTAGTTCACAGGACCAAACCAGACCTTCTTTTACGGTTTGGGCTTGGGACCGGTGCTAGACCCGTGGGTAGTCGAGTCCCGGTCCTGGTTGAGGGATTTGCGAACCAAGACCGGCTGGTCCAGTCCCTGATCAATCATATTTTTTTTGGCATTCAAAACATTATAAGAATTTTAAAAGAGGTGTAAATTCATTTAAAAGCTAAAATATGTTAGAGGGGTGGGAGGATATAAAAATTCATTAAAAAAAATTAAACAATCGACTGGACCGGAACTTGGAATGGCGAGGGAATTGAATAACCAGTGCCGGTCTCGGTTTACCCCACCCCACCATCCCACCCCTGGGATAGGCCGGTCCAGTACCGGAACTGGACCGGGTCCATCCCTACATGAAGGTATGAACTATGAAAGGAAAAATTCAATGAAAAGCTCATAAGATACATCTAAAAACTCATCGCTAGTAAAAGGTAAACATATGTTTTGTTTGTTTAATAGAACACAAAAAAGGGTGCTACTAAACCACATATGTAACCGGTTCGTACCAATTGAAGTGAGAAATATCAAATAAGAGTAAATTATATGAAATTTCATGCGGATAGAGATGAAATATACCAATAAACTCTTTTTTCTTTTTTAACCTTTTAGCTAAGTAAGGGTTTTAAGTAATTTATAAATTCATCTTACATGTATTTCACACCTACTTTCTGTAACTGTGCACTTGACCTATGCTAGAACTTGTGTGGAAATGGTGAAAAGGTCCATTTTAAGCACACATTAATATTATTATTAAGTCAATGGCTATAAACTTACTTAAGATTAGATTGACTAAACTGACTAAAGCAGACAAAATTTGACTTGATTGAAAACAAAATTCGGCTACATTTGTCTAACGTCACTAAAAACCGCAGGCATTGTTCTTTTCTCTGCTATTTTCCTGATATGAACATTTCATTGAACATCTTATATGCTTTGGTAGACCTAAATGTCATGTAAAAACTGAGAAAAAAATAGCAGCTACTATAATTTAGATTTTTTGTCCACTATAACAACTACATTTGTCACTTCATACAATGAATTCGTTTATCCGGGTTAAAGAGCCTGATTATTTTTTCAAAAGAATTTTAAGCTATAGCTTTCTTTTGACATTGTTTGATTCATATACAGCTTTCATCAATGAAACTGAATTCCCTTTCACAGGTAGACTATGTTTTAATTAATGGAGAAAAAGTGTATATTCTTGTCCAGTTTAAACCATGGTTAGCTACTAATGAATTAGCAATAGACGTTATTTATAATTCCTTCATTATAACAACTACATTTATCACTTTTTGATGCAAAAAATTAGTTTATGCCCGTTAAATAGTCTGATTTTTTTTTAAAATTGTTACTTGTCGGTTTCTTTTGGCAGGATTTGATTCATACGTGGCTTTTATACAAAAGCCAAAATGAACTCCTTTTGTATTAGATACACTAATTCCAGGCTGCAATTACTACCTTTAGAAGTTAATTTATGACATTCAAATTCAGCAATCCCATAAGAGAAGAGCAATCCCATAAGAGAAGCTTACTATCATTCAATAGATTGAAAATTGGATCCAGGCAGGCTACTCCTATATTAGGTAGACTAATATGGGAGGCTTAACTACTGGGATATTATTGTTTCAATTGAATATCAAGTAAACTCTATGAGTCATCCGGAAACAGTCTCTCTGTGTTTTAGTACAGGGGTAAGACTGCTTACATCCGACCCCCCTTACATATAATATAAATAGATTTGTATTTGTAAATAGATCTAAAGCACAGAGAGACTGTTTCCGGAACCATACTGCTATCTCTTTTCTTATATATAATATAAATAGATTTGTATTTGTAAATCTTCATTGTATTTCATAGTTGCAACTAGCACATATCTTCTACGAAGTATTTGTTAATCATGTTCATCTAGCTTCATCCTTGTCTGATTCTCATTTATGAAGCACCGATTAATACTATAATTGGAATTGTTGTAGCATTTCTACCAAATCACGACTTACTCCCAAGTTATGCACCACGTAGCATCACTTATGTGGTGTTAACATTAGCATCAATGACATGTCATGAGTGATGTTAGTGTGTAACAGTAGTTAATCGAGACAGTTAATGATGTTTACGACATATGCATTTGCATAGAATGTAAAGTCAGAAAATGCAAGTTTTGGTTGGAGAGCAAATGTTGATGCAATCTTAGTAACAGTTTTGTGTGTGTGTGTTGGAGCCATTCTACCAACCATGAACCATGGACTTAAAATTTGAATATCACTTTGTTATCAGAATTCCATGCGGACGAATGATTTAGTAGCTTGAAGATGGCGTTACAAATTCAAATCTGGTATAGAGACAATCATCAACATTGAAATCAGCTGCTCGGATCATTTCCCATTCACTTCGGAGACCTCTTATCCTCCTTTGTGCTATATGGATTTCTCCATTTTTATCAATCAGCTTCATAGCATTTTCTATAAACTCCCTCACAAGGAATTGATGCCTTCTGAGTAAAACCAACAAATAAAAACATGTAAGTAAAGATGATATAATTTTTGCAAAAAAGAAAAATATGTAAGGAAGTATAGAACTAGTTGTGGTTATATGAAAACTAACCTTAGTCGGAAAGTGCGGGATTTCAAGTTGGGAAAACCAAAAAACGGAAGAATAATGACTATCCGCTCAAAAACAACACCATGCAATAATGAGTGGTCAGCCAGGTACTTGGGATCAACACCATGCATGACCTTGCATCCCTTCCTTCTCAAAGTAACAATGTTTTCAAGAGCATTCTTATCATAATCTTTGATGAAAAAATCTGAAATAAAACAAAACAAGGAAATGCAATTAGCATAAAAGGCTACTAGCTAGCCTAGATATGTAAAAATAATACTACCTCCGTCCCATAATGGTTGTCTCATTTCAATTTGGCACATTTATTATTAAAGTGGTTGAAAAATAAAAGTTGTGGTTGAAATTTGAGCAGAATAAAGTGAAAATGATATGTATCACAAATTTCTTACAAAAAATGAAAACATGACATACATTTTTAGACAACACCAAAAGGAAAGTAAGACAACCAATATGGGACGGATGGAGTAATAAAAACATTTTTAGACAATGCTTTTGCATTACACAAAAGGGAGTGGTTTGTTCGTTTAAGATTAATTCAACTTTTAAAAGTAAAAAATGTGACAAGTCCATCCTGCCACTTTACTTCAATATAAAACTTTGTCTAGCTAATAAAGTAATAAACTATCCTTTAACATGACTATACGATGGGTATTATATTGCTGATTATTGCACATCACCTTAAATATCATTAACACACTTGTGATCCAATCATCCAAATATTTGCTATCCTTAAAGGAGAAAATGAAAAAATGGAACCATTAAAAAAACAAAATAGCCTTTAATTTATACTATCGTAAATAGTAGATATTTATATTACCACGGGACTCGAGAGTAGTGGCGGTCATGTTAGAAGCTAAACCAAAGGAGGCCAAAATAGAAGAGAAGGAGAAATCAACTTCACCCACTACCAGTATCTTGTCACAATTTCTGTAGTATTGTCTAATCCATTGCTCAACTCCTTGTGCTAAAAAGTGCAACACCAATGGTTGTTTTACAGATTTAGGAGCACAACGAATGGGAGTAGCTTCCACAACTGACTTTCCCAAACGACCAAACTGCCCAAATGAATAAGGAAAGAGAAAATGAAATGAAATTTCTTGTGAAATTTTCTTTCCATTTTGCATTCCAATTAAAACCAGATCAACTACTCATCTTCATTTATATACACAAAAGGCTATTACTTCTTCAATTGGTCTAATATTTATACTACATATCTTTTATTTAACATTGACATTCGTGCTAATACTCAGTGTTCCATTCAAAAACGCTAATGCGAGTCGTTTCCGAGGTATAAAAACAGGGTAATATGAGTAGCTCAAGGTCGAAATTAAATGTGCGTTAGGCGTTTCTATCTTTATATGTGGTTGATGTGAGAGATAGATTATAACATGCCTGTTTTATGGTAGTTTAAATATGAGTTTCTTACAAAAGTATTACTAAAATAAAACTTATTTACACAAATATGGCTATTATAAGTAACTACAATGTAGTGCCATAGTAATTTAAGTTTAAAAATTGAACATAAATTACTATAATTTCATTACTACTCTAGTCACTAATCATATTTTTGTAAACATTCTCCATTTTAATCATAATTATGTAATTATTTCTTTAATATTCTTTCCCTTACATTCATTGTTGAGTCTTAATTGAGTCTTAATGATATCGGTTCTAATACCATATGATAAGACTTAGGCTTGTAGCTTGCACTATGAGATTCCCTTAACAATTTAATATTTAACTTCCAGCACTTTCTGAGTTTCCCCTTTTCAATTTGTACTTTTTTGGTTGGTTTTTCACAATTTGAGATCAATGGTTTTTTATTTAGCTAGTCACGTTTTATGTTTTCATTTGAAAAGTACCAAGTGTTCAAAATATAAAGGCTAGGAAATTATTATATTCAGGGACGGATCCAGGAAATTGACTCAAGGGGGGCGAAATTTTTCGTTAGTGTAGATGGCGAAAATTTTTTCGTTAATGTAGCGGCGCGAATTTTTTTCCATAGTGTAGTGGGGCGAATTTTTTCGGTGTTGTAGGGCTATGCGGCTATTTTAATTCAAAAAATGACATTAATACATAAACATTCCCAACGATATTTAAATCTATTACATTCTAAGTTTAGACAAAGACATCAACCAATACATTTTAAATAACTTCTACATTGTTTAACCTCATGAATCGGTTATTGAATTGTAATTTTTGTCTACCAAGGAGGGTGTTCGTGAGTCATGACTCATGAGAAGTTTTCTTAATATTACAATAGTAATATTTATGGGATTATTATTTTTAGATAATATGCACCACATATTATATATATGGTACATATTATATTTTAATATTTGTATTAATGCTATAATAATTTAAAGTTTATTATCTATGCAATAAATTATTTTTTAGAAAGCAAGAAGTAAACAAATTATGTACTTTAATTTCAATAAACATTTATATTTTGGATCATTTCACGTGATCTAAATACTGTGTAATTAGTGTGTCTGGTATTTAATATCATTTGATATATATTTTACAAAATCCAGTACTTGTTATCTAATAAAGATAATTAAACATTACAAAACTAGGAATTTTTATATAATAAGTATCCCAAATCTTAAACAACGAGTTATTCTATTGTTTATTTGTTTAAGTTATGTAAATTATTTTAGATGTTACTTCTTTCAAATCTCCAATTAAGTATTACATAATGTAAGGCTATATATTAATTTTGAAAATTAAAAGCTAAGGGGGGCGAATCTAATTAAATTATGAAAGTTCTATGAAAATATTACAATGGTAAAAAATTTTGAAAATCCAAGGGGGGCGGTCGCCCCCCGCGCCCCCCCTAAATCCATCCCTGATTATATTGAACCTTTGAAACGCTGCCTTGTAGTTTTGTAGTATTCCTTGGAAGGCTCTGGCTTGTAGCTGCCAATTGCATTTGCTGCTGGAATAGTAGGAATTCTTCATAACCGTCTTCTTCCTGTGAAAAGATTACCCAATCCTCATCATCATCTTCATGAGCATTTATTGCCTCCAAACCCTGAGTTATCTTCTTGAAGTGCTTGTATTTTACACACTTTTTAGGCTTAGTTTGTTAATAATTTTGATCACTTAATTTGTATATTTGTACATATTTTTATTATTTATCATTACTTTGTACGATGTGTAGTTCTATGCATATATTTTGTATTTTCAGGTACTTTTGATACTATTTGATACATTTGTGTGTGAAGAAAAGAAGAAAATAAAAGTTCAAGTTGGAGGTCAATAAAAGTGGAATTTCTTTCAAAGCAAATAAGGAGTAAATTGAAGTTAAGAAGCAAAAATATGAAAACACAATGATGGGATTCGATCCCTGAACCGGGGTAGAGGAAAGCCATTCAAAACCAGTGAGCTAACTAGCCAATGTTGTACACAATCAGCCGGCAGTTTATATATTGCTTGTGACCACATCAAAGAAAAAATGGAACAAAAGTCCGAAGCCAGAATCGAACCCGCGACCTCTGCTACATGCTTAGATACTTCGTCCGCTGCACTGCTACGCATTATTGATACTTGGACGCGTTTTCTTGTACATATACTCTCCGGTTCCGTAAATTCCAGCAATTAATGATTAATCACCTTATCATTATATTGCCTTAATCCATCTCCCTCCACACATAATCTCGAGCCAACTTCTCTCTACACCTCCCAGAATCATTTCCTCCTCTCTTCATTCTTCATCTCCAAATCATCAACCAATCTTCAACATCAATTAATCACTTTCTCAATCAAGATTAAAGTCAAGATTAGCACCAAGCTCCAAGAATTGTCATCTATCACAAGTTTGATCTTCCTTATCTCTTTAAATCTTGTACTTCAATCATGAATTCATCTATTTCTAAGCTTCCCAACATGTATAGCTAAATAAATTTGGGGCTAGAAATTGGTTAATTAATTGTTCTTATCATGTTTTAATTTGTATTGATTTTAATTGTTAAGTTTGTTCTATTTAGATTGTTGTGTCCAGAAAATTAATTATGTTATGTTTGTGATATATATTATGAGTACTCAATCATAAACATATTGTTTGTTAAATACACAAATGAACACTTTCTGAACACACCGTTAAACTTCTTTTACCTTGTCCCGGATTGAAGTTTTACGGGAGAATTTAATTATTTAATTATATTATTTACACCACGGGGTTGGGTAAATAATATAGTTAATAATTAAGGTTGTCGTTGCACTTAAACAACTAGTCTCGTTTTGGCCATCACTGGGAAATGTTGACTAGTTACTTATTTTAGATGACTTGTGTTGGGTCCTAAAATATTTATCCACAACTTCTCACAATCTATCTACGAATAAAATTAGCAATTATTTCTTTTAATTAAACATTGAACAATTAGTTACCAATTTCTACCCCTACTTGCTATTGGTTGAACTTTGTGTTGATAAAAATCTCTCATCTCAATCACTTTTATTTTATTACTTTTCCAAGCAACCAAAAATAATCAAAAGAAACGCACTTCCAACTTTAATCCTTAGTTTGTGCTTAATTATTTTATTTCCCGCTTCTCTGTGGTTCGACACCCTACTTCCTTGGGTAAAAAATAGTTGTGTGCCCATTATATGCTACACACCACTTCTCCATCATCAGCTTTCTCCTACTTTTCTTCTTCATTCTTCTTAAAATCATTATTACAATAACCGAGTTTATATCAAGTCTCTTTGATTATGCTAAAACGAACGCCAGCTTGGTTAAAAGAGACGAACAGTTAATGCCATGTTATTATGGCTTATCACCATAATCAGGGGCGGACCCAGGAAATTGATATTGGGGGGCGATAATTTAAACAAAAAAAATCTAGGCGATTATTATTATAAGTTATAACCTTAATATAATACGGAGTAGTAATTAAATGAATCATTATAATTGAAGAAGAGACAAATATATTATTACAAAATAGTTAAAGTTAGTACCTTAGAATTGTACCCAACGCTTCTTCAACGAGATAAATTCCTCAATCACGGTTTTTTAGTCAAAAGTTTTAGCAATTTCTCTTTCAATATAAACAATAAGGTTGTCTGCAACATACTCATCCTCCATTTTATTGCGAAGCCTTGTTTTTATAATTTTCATTGCGGAAAAAGTCCTTTCGATTGTTGCTATCCAAACCGGTAGAGTCAACAAAAGTCGGATCAATTTATCAACAAGCTAAGAAAGTACATTTTTGACATCTCCGTCTCCGCTAATCTTTGACAAAGTTCATCCATTGTAGAAAAATTCGCCAACTTTGGATGGTTTAGAACATTGAGCTTATAATGTTGCAATTGAAACCTCAAGCTCACCTTCTTCTGCTCAATAAAATCAAAGGGGTAATATTTATCCACTAAAGAACAGATATCATCAATGTTAAAAGACTTATTATGAGTCCTTAGGATCCAAAGCACCACTAAGAGTAAGAAGATCCATTATCTGTTCACAGAATCTGCTATTCAGCTCCAACAATTGTGAATCTATGGCTGTGTAAAACATATCAACCCGATAGTGACGTTCAATATCAAACCCTTCTTGATCATGGCGTTTGCGTTTTACCGCATAAGGAGACTTCATATTAGGAACTTCAATTTCATGCTTTGTGCAAAACTCTTTAACAATTTCTAAGAAGTTATCCCATCCACCCTCTCTTAACTTTTGGATCAACATTTTGGTGCTTGACACCAAATGCATAGCATTTACTATGTCTTGGCACTTCTTCTGTATATGCTGACATAGAATATCTGTAATGCCCATAATTTCTTTAATAAGATGCAACAAGAAAAAAAATCAAAAGATTTAATCTTCTTGAGCTTCCTTTAATTCATCACTTCGTTTGCAAGAAGAATTAGTCACATTAATAATAAAGACTGAATCGATGAAAAAATTGCGCACATATTTCACCACTCTAGAAGTAGCAACCAATGCTAATTGCAACTGATGTGCTAAACAATGAACATAGTAGGCATAAGGACAATCATTTAAAAAT